TATTATATGGGATCCATGTGAAACAAAATTAAATAAACATGAAATTATTCTGTTGAAGGTTAATATGTGTACTTCTGTTCATAGGAGTTGATTGTCTTCTCATTTACTTGGCTGAGTTGGATTTATAAAGTATGTTTCAGTTTTATGAAGAGTTGCAAAAGGAATTTTTCTAAAAAGTCAACACCACTATTCTACATAAACTGTGTACAAAACACAGCAAAGCAAACAGAAAGGTGAACTTGGTCTATTTTGTGATAGTAGCTTAAAGTTTCATTAGAAAGTTCTAAAAGATGCAGATGGTGTTCAGATATTTCTGTGGCTGGCCTATATTTCTCAGTATAGCTGGCATTTATAAACCATTTCCGGCAGTCATGGGCCAGTATTCAGCTTAGTTAGACTCAGTCTGTGGTTTTGATGCAAGAGGGGTCTGCATGGCACTGGTGGTTCAGGGAGTGCATCATTGCAGTGGTTTCCTCAGTCACCTCCCATCTTTTGCTAAATCTGAGAAAGAATTTAACAAATATAAGGAAGACCAAGATTTAAGAGCTACACAGTGCATATTAAGACCGCAAAACTGTATTGTAAACACACTAGTGGTCCAAAACTTTTTGCAGTTCATGGGCAGTCAAATTAAAGTGTAAAATGCAATTAATGTAGTCTAAAGACTATCATAGAGCGGGTAATGACACCTCAGAATTGATATAATTTAATTCCATAGTTTGGCCTGTGCACACAAATGTAGACATAATCCTCTGAAAATCATACACCAGTTTGGATATGATGCCTTCAATAACTGTTGGAAATTCCAAGATTTGAGTCGAATGAATATGAACAACTAGATGTGGCAAAAAGTCTTAAGGCCTGATTTAAAAACAAAACAAAACAAGAATTGGAGCAGATCTTAAGTTGTCTAAGAGTTTATATCAGAAATGTGAAGCATAAAAACTGAATGCTGCTTCTCTGTGTTTAGTTTGGACTTTATGGACAGTAAGCAGATCTGTCCCAGACCATCTGAGAATTCTGGACAGTTCACAATGAAGAAGCAGATCAGATATGTATTTGGGTCCTAAGTGCTTTACAAACCAACAGAAGTATTTTAAAACCCATTATCTGACAGGAAGCCAGGGTCAAGATCTGAGAACTGGAGCAGCACGCCTCTGGTCTTAGGAAAGACTCTGGCAGCAGCAATGTAAATCAGCTGCAGCTGTCCCTATAGATTTTGGAGGTCTCTGTTCAAAGATAAATCTCAGGGCCCATAAGATGATTAATGTGGTAAGAAAAGAAGAAAACAAAAACAAAGTTAACCTCTTTTTGGAGTTCTCTAATCTAATAAAAATTTCTAAAAATTTCTTTTTGTGAAATTGTAGATAATTTAACCTTTTGGGGTCTCAAATGGTAATCTAAATGAAAATGTGAATTTTAGAGGATAAATTAATCTTTTGGTGGAACTGCAACTTATAGACATCTGAAATTTGAGAAGGGGACTAGACACTGCTTTTTTTGTAAGGGGCCAAAAAGCCAAAAAGGTTGAAACCACTGTTAATCTTAAACAATGGATTTTATAAGCTAATCATAACTTTTTTATGGTAAATTGTCATCTTTAAAATAAGAATCTTGATCAGGATTTATATCTGACAGCAATTGATAATGTGTACACATTAAAGCACAGTGTGTATTTACTGTAAATATGTAATTTACATTTTGTAGGTAAGTTTAGTTTAGTTTAGTTTAGTTTGAATAGATTTAAGAATTGATTTAACTTCAATATGGAAATGAATTAGTTAATAATAAATATATTAAAATAAAAAGTACAATAGTTGCCTTGGAACTGACTGTGGAGCAGATAGCAGAAAATCAAAATAATCGAGTAAAGTACAAGTACTTAAGTACAGTACTTTAAATGAAAAAATTAATATTGTACTTTACAACTGTAAAACTGTTTTTTTGTACATTATATTAGTTTGTGTGATATGTCTGGTCTGTAATTTTTGTAATCTGTGTCAATTTAGCTGCTGCAACACCGCAGTTTGCCCTCGGGGACCAATAATGATCTACCTACTACATACTAACTAACTAAAAGGGACAGTGTTTTTCTTGTATAGCATAAGTTTTCTTATAGAGATGTATGCAACAAGTGTTTTTAGTCCTCTTTAAGATGCAAGATAAAGTCAGTCAGTTTCAAGCAGAAGGTGCACCAAGCCTTTTTACCTGTTCAGAACAGGAGGACCAACAATTGCGGGACCTTGACCTTGATTTGTTAAAAATGCCTCATAGATAAACAGCCAATCAGTAATACCTTCTTGTATAGAGAGAGGGGCAGACAGTTTACAGCCCCTTCAAATTGCTTCTTTTTGTCTGTTTTAATTGTGTGGATCGGGAGCCTGCACCTGGGTATTTTATTTTGAAAATTGACCGGATTCTCTATGATGTTTGTGTGTTTGACTACCTTTCCGGTTTGATCTGCTCTGTGCAGCTTGACTCGGCTTCTATCTAGAATAGACTTTTCTCCGCGGAGCAGAGAGAGGAGCCGCTTCTGGGCTGCTTCTGAAACGGTGACTCATAAACTGTCTACAATGGCCGCTATCAGGTGTAATTTTGAAATGGCTGATTTTGTCCCCAGCACTTTTTGAAAGCATTTGCTAAAAGTTTTCTGAAAATTAGCTTGCAACAAGAAATGTTAAATAACGAGAAAGGTTTACTTGCACAATTGGAAAACATAAAATGCAATGTAAATATAGGAAACAGATCTGCCTTGTCCCAAAAAAGGAACTTGGGCTAAAAAACAAGCTGCTAATTCTACATTATATTAGATAATATTTTTATATTCTGAATTGTCAGTGGCCACATGTATTCTGTTTAGCTTCATATAAATAAAAACATTTCCACCATAAAATTAGTGCAGAAAATGTTATGAGAATGCAGGAAATTAAGAGTTTAATGCTCAAAATCTTCTGGGGGAGGACCCAGACCCAGAATAGCCTATTTCATTAATGAATATTTCTTCAAAATAGCATCGGAGGATCTTGTTGTCTTGTTCTCGTGGACTAAGTTTTTCGTCGCACCGCCCATAAATGTCCCCCCACACTTTTCAACACAAAGTGACGCCCTTGGCTGTTCAGTCCTTCCGGTGAAACCAGCTCCGCTCATCGGCCCCAGGGTGCACACAGAAGCAACTCCTCTTGAGAAAAGGGAAAGCCAACGCCCCGCTGACGCTGAACTCAAGTCAGTCAGTCCTTCCTCCAGAGCTTCTGTGGTCGTGACTGAGCTCCAACAGGGTCTATTTCACGGAGGCTTTACATCGGTGACGTTCATCCACCTGCAGGGGGAAAATAACCCAAACTTCAAACGGGAGCAGCAGCCATCAACACTGGGGCTGTTCTCAAGACAACTTTGCTTATTCAAACATTTCCCGTCGGTCGCTGGCGATAACCCTTAACAACAATCTGTATATACGTATAATACGTAAGTTATTGCAGAATGGCTGATACAACCGGGTCCAGCGCCGCTGGAAACTGCTGGAGAAGCTGAAAAGTTACGTGAAGACCCAGAAAGGTTTTATCCTCGCAGCTGAAATAGTAAGTTCACTGACCTGGGCAGTTGACATGTAGGCCTACCATTCAGCTACTGTGCAGCTTTGGATGGTCACAGCTGCTTGCAGAACTGTCTATAATATGCTGTGTGACGTTTGCTAAAGTAGCCTGCAGCTAATCAATATTTAATAGATTGTAAAGTGGGTTAATGTAGCCTACATGGTTGTCATTGATTTTTCTTACACTGTTAGGCGAGAGAGGAGATAGTTACCCCAGCTTTATGGAGTCGTGTCACCATTTATATGTATTTTCTTCTTAAAAGCTGTTTTGTCTCACTTTTTGAGAAGCTGTCTAGCCTGGGAATGAAAAGCATGTGGTCTAGCGGGGTTGAAGGATCGTGAAGAGGAGGTTAAGGGTTTCCACCTGTCACTTTTGCTCCACTGTTTTCTCATTTGACACCAAGGAGCCAAATGCTGAGCATTAATGGCAGATGAAAGGTCATATGGGTTAACTGACCAACTGACTGTTGTCAGGCATCTCCTTTTTTACTCATTACCACAGGCTGCATACTATTTGTAGGCAGAGAAGTAGTAGCCCAAATATGGAATGCCTATCACATTCCCACTAGTATAAAAGCTCATAAAGTTCCCCCCCCCACGCCATGTCTTTGCACATCTGGCTGGAATTAACAGGAATCTATACATACAGAGGTGGAAATATAATCATCAGAGCAACAGTCTAATAATGTTTAAGTTAGGTGTGTGGTTTAAAGTTTCCTACTTCCTGGAAGAGAACAACCACATCCTGTCTGGAAGACCTTTTTTTTATACTGTCCTTGACCACCGTTTTTCACATGATTGCCTTTGTTTGCATTTCCCTGCAGTGTGTTCTCTTAACGCATGACTCACTTTGATCTTAAAATATTTAGTTAAGTTATGCCGTGGAGTATTATCACAACCTGTATCCCACCATAGCTTACAGAGTGCTCAGAGTGTTACTGTACAACTGTTCCAGTTGTTAAACGTCAAGAAAGCACTTTTTTTTTTTCACTGATAAAATGGCTCTGCTCTCATAAATCAATGAGCTCATTATAAAGCACGCTCTCAAATGTTGGTGGTCAGTGGTCCACCCACTGGATAGTTGTTTTTTTTCCTTCTTCTTCTCAGAGGTAATGGAAATTCCAGGCTGTGTGTGAAGTTTGGTCCTGGGAACAAAGAATGCGTGAATTGCCTTGCACACATCTCTGGTGTGCCAATCACGGGACAGATTCGTGCTTCACTGGATACACTGTGTAGTTTGTTGTTTCCTCTCCCACTTAAGTCTTTACTGAAACCTGGTAAACTCCTAAAGAAAGTTATCTCTGGTAGTACATGTCTGAAATAGTTGACAGTGCAGGGAGAGCTGCAACAGGAAGACAAATGCTCATTATGTCCAATCTGATAGGAAATAGGGGTATTTAACCACAGCAGTCGGGATTACTGAGGGCCAAATCTTCCGGCTGGTAAGCCAAAAGTCTAAAAGAATAAATGTCCTTTTTAATCAACTTTTAATATCAGGTTTCCATGCCTCATCAAATTACATGTAGACTTATTTTGTTTTGGTTTTCGGCTTGCCAGAGACATTGCCATACTTAACCTTGTTGGAAGTCACAGAACAACATAACGATTCACAGTCACACCCATTTAGTGCAAATTTGTGGCACAGGTCAGTAGCGATAAGTCAGGATGAGTCATGCATTGAGCTGATTATTTGCCCTGAATAAGAAGTGGTCACATTGTTTTATGACCGGAAACATGTTTTTTAGGTTATCTCCTTTTGAATGATGTTTTTTTAATCAAGGGAAAGGGTGGGAGAAAAGTAGGGGAATGAAGGTTGAGTAAATGAGTGAAAATGACTAGAAATGAAACTGAATGACATTTTACGCTCAACACACACAATACACACACCCCAAAATGTGTATTCCCTAGCAACCAATGCTGTTTGGTGTGTCTCTGTACCACGGACTGACTCTTGGCGCTCATGTTGCTGCTTACTATAATTAGCCAACCGTTCACGACAATTTTTCCTTCAGTCAGTTTCAAAGAGCAGCCCATTATACTGATGTGAATAGATCCTAGTTGGGATCTTAAAAGCTGACCCATGCAAACAGATCCGCCGCTGTGTGGAAAACATAAAGGTGTCAACATCTCGCAGCCTTTCTTGTTCAGAGGGACTCTTGTGTAGTGGGTGTTTCTCTGTGTGACGGCCTCCTCAGTAGCCGCTGCCCTCAGAGCAGCCGGCTCTTGCCTAAATAGAGCCTCCTTTGTGTAGGATTTTGGCCTCTGCCGCCTCACTACTCTACAGAGGCAGCCTGTGTCAGTCTCGAGAACACATGAACTACTGATGCATCTGGCTGGCTCGCTGCACGTAGCAGTTGCTGGTGAGGGGAGGGGAAGCAGTAGTGACAGATGTAGGGCTGGCGTCAAGTCAGTTACATCATGGGTGTATTATATAGACTACAGTGATTTGACACTCGCCACCAAGTTGTCTGCTTTATTTTTTGCAATATGCAAGATGAGTTTTTTTTAAAATACAGCCACAGTCAATTTATTTAATAACCCAATCGAAGAATAAATTATTTAACTTGTGACAAGAAAGCAGTGCAGAGAAGTGTTCAGTGGATCATATGTAACTAAAGAGTTTATTAATTCTTTCTAGCTTGAGTTCTATCTTTTATATATGATTAAAGTTTGACATTTATTTGTCACAAGCTGAAACAATATGTGCAGTCAAATTCAGGGTACATGTAGTAAAAATAACGATTAGAAATAAATTATAATGTTTTTTCTAAGCTAGAAAAATATAAATATATGTAGTAAGAGTTATGTTATAAAGTGTATTAGAACTACAATGATTAATTGATTATTCAATTAGTTGATTGACAGAAAATTAATTCACAACTATTTTAATAATCGTTTAAGTACTTTTTTGAGTAAATCTGTCAAACGTTTTAAGGTTCCAGCTTCTCAGATGTGAAGGTCTGTTTATTTTTTCTTGTTTTAAATTGTGTAAATTGAATATTTTGGACACAAAAAGACATTTGATGATGTCATTTTGAGCTGTGGAAATTTGAAGTGGGTTTGGCTGTGGCTCAGGAGGTAGAGCGGGTTGGCCGTTAATCGGAAGGTCGGCGGTTCAATCCGTGGCTCCCCCTGGTTGCGTGTCGAAGTGTCCTTGGGCAAGATGCTGAACCCCAAATTGCCCCTGGCGGCTATTCCGCCAGTGTATGAATGAGTGTGAATGTTAGTTTCTGTTTGAGCACTTAGGCTCAGTGTATGAATGTGTGTGACTGGTGAATGCAGATGTAGTGTAAAAGCGCTTTGAGTGGTCGAAAAGACTAGAAAGGCGCTATACAAGTACGGAGCATTTACATTTATTTTTTTATTTTTACAGTTTTCAGATTTTGTACCAAACAATTAATAGGAAAATAAATAATGAAAAGGTTTAAATCTTTCCAGTATATACAAATTTAAAATGTACATGTCACTTATAAGGCAAATTTCATACAAGGTACAAGGTAGAGTTATTTATCATTTTACAACACAGGGTTGTATAACAAGATTAAGATGCTCAAGTCCAAATGTGCAGGGCACTGCAAAGGAGTTATAAATCTATGTTGTAGAAAAGGACAATAAAATGAATGCTGTTTAGTCTTCAAGTAATTTATTGTTTGGCATACAAAGGCTTAAGGACTTAAGGAAATTTCCACTCCTTCAAAGCTGTCATATGTTGTGTGAATGCATCTGCCCACACCGTTTGAAAGCAACAACAATAGCTGTATTGAAAAAAAAAAGGCTGATTCTGGTTCAGGGCTGTAGGCAGCCTACGTTTATGATTTCTTCACATTGGCAGCATTTCACTGGAATGGACTGAGAAGAATGCAAGCTGACTTTTTTTCCCTCCATATGGAAAAATATGATCTGAATGGAACATACACAGATCCATGAAGAGGGCAACATGTGATAGACGGACTGACAGAGTGCATTGTAATCCCTCCAGTTGTCTCACCCTAACAGTGTTTTTGTGTAGAAAATATTTATTCTTGGCAAAAATAGTTGTTATTCTGTGGATGTGGATATTGTTGAACTGACTGGAGTAATTGAAACAATGATGGTTCTGTTGGAGTGATTTATTGCCTGAGTGGCTTTTTCTTTTTCTATTAATGAACACTGAGATGATTAGTGCTCTGTCAGGTGAACTGCAGCTGATCACTATGTTCTTTTATCAAGTCAGTCAAACCTGACCTCCAAAGTCTAACAGAGGGAAGGAATTTAGGCAGCATCTGTTAGTTTTCTGGCAAAACCCTGAACTATTCTGGGATATCGTCACCTTTCTGAGGTCAAAATCATTAATCTCTTTGTTTCTTGCTTTTCCCCACCCCCTCTTCTCACTTCAATCACTCCTAGCTCATCAGTTTCATTATCATCATCTGCTACGCAGCATCTCTGTATGGAGGCTACTCCGCGGTGGCCATCTGCGAGATGGTTTTCGCCATGGCCTTCTTCGGCATCTTCATGATGGAGTTGGACAAGCAGTTCCTATTGGTCAACTGGGTCTGGAGTGTGAGTCCTCTACAACACACACACACACGCACGCACACACACACACACAGCATTGTTGCATAATGTTTCATCTTCTGCCTCCCTCTTTTTGTGCAGGATCTTTTCCGTGCTGGTATTGGTGCTATCCTTTACATCATCACTTCTCTGATCTGTGTGATTGGAGGGGCCGGGGACGGCGCTCGTATAGCAGGCGGGGTCAGTTAAGCAGCCGTGAACTGAATGCTGAAACTGTTCATATTCAGGTTTTACGGTTTGTTTTGACAACCATTATCTATGTATCAGTGATATCACAGGTGTGAAAACTGCTTATAGATGTGTAAACAGAAACCAAAGGGGGTTATTTGATGTGTGTGTGTGTGTGTGTGTGATTATGAGATACGCGCAACCTCTCTGCAAAGGCGCTCAGGAAGAATTGAGTAATATCGTCATCTCGATTAATTTCTTATGCTTCCTTCCTGTTTAAGTATAGTGCTGACCACAAGCTGACACAATTTGCCTGTCTAACAGTTTTCAAACAAGTTTCACTATTTTTGTAGCCAAAAACAGGATGCATTCATAGTTGGAGCACCTTGGAGAGTGCACAAGAAACACACACACATAAGTACCAAATTAAAGTGCAGCATACAGCCACTAATGATATTATGGAAGCAATAGGAGTCATTAAACGAGATTCATGGTAAATGAAAAGGACAGGGGGAGGCATAAGACACATCAAAAATGCACAAATCACCACCGCCAGTAGAGAGGGAGAGAGAGCAAGAAACAGAATGACTCAAGAATCAAGAGACTAAAGCCTGTGGTGTTGTTAAAATTAATCAATTTCAAATTCAAGTTTTCCTTGCTCTCTATTTACTTAATTCGATTGAGGACATTTAATATTATTTTTCTCTAAGAATTAGTTTTTAGTTTATTCTTTATCAGTTTATTCATTGTTTCTGAAACAATATTTGTGTGGTGTGCCCGGTAGATTAAAGGTAAATTTCACATCTCTTTTTCCAACCACAATCTTCCTTAAGTTTTTCATAGACCCAATCTGCGCTATTTTTACACTTTTGTGTGGTATACACACCACACGTGTTTGTTCGGAACTGAATGTGTGAAAGTTGCACATGGACAACTGCCAAAAATGTTTCTGTTGAATATCGCAGTCATTTCTTCGGTTGAGGATTTCTCCAAGTGAAATAATCTTGTCTCAGATCAGTTTTGTAGTTTCTTCACCCTCAGACTGGGAGTAAAGCTGTCTGCTGGTGTGAGCATTTTTGAAAGTCTTGTAGTCTGCTTTTGCTATGTAACCTAAATTATGAAAGATTTATTACAAGTACATTACAGTATGTTTAAAAAAAAAAAAAAAAAAAAGTATTTCTAGAAAAAATTATTGGCATTAACCAACTTTGAGGTGTTTTATTTGACCAGTGAATTTGATTATTTCTGTGTTTCTGATCATAACTGACCATAGGTGTTTGGTTTGATCGCTGGTCTGCTGTTTGCCTATGATGCCTACACCATTTTCCTGCAAATCAAGAGCACCAGGCAGCACACGGCAGCATCCACCAGTAAGAGCAACAGATATTTACTATTCTATATGACGCTAATCTGTCTTATTTCAAATGTACAACGTGTTGTTTTTCTTTTTCACAGATGACGGAGTTTAAACACTCCGAGACACGTGTCTCTGTCAGGGTCGTAGAAGAAGAACAAAGAGGAATTTGTGCAGAAGTTAACGGAAGAGTGGATCAAAGAGGGGATGATGGACAGTAAAAATGAACAGGTCACAGTTTAATCAATGCCACTGTATGGTGTGAACAGACAAGAGATTTATTTAGGGCCGTGCTTGAGAGGAGTATGACGTAGCCTGAGTGGTACTGTACTGCACATCTATGCCTGCATGTCAGACAAAAAAATGTCTACTACATGAAGAATTCCCCTCACAACTCCAGCCTCAATATACCACTGATTTAATAAGGGAAATTAGCAAATAATAGGCAGTGGCTGGTGTCCTCAAGCAGCTTGTCTAACACATGTCTACTGTTAATGGACTGCTGTAATAAGTAGTAACTGTATCATTTGGGTTTTTTAAGTAACTGACACATGAATGGGTGCTTTAGGAATTGTTTAACATGATAATTATGCTTTTCTGGAGTGTGTTTTCTGTATGTTCAGTGAGGTTTTATTAGCTGGCCAAACGTGTCTTTCTCTGTTATTTAAAGCTACTACAAGGAATTTTCATTTGCTAATTTGAGTGTCCCCTGTGGACAAATGCAGTAGTGTTTTTCCCAGAGTGAAGACTGTATTTCACATGAGCACCGCCACCTCCAGTCATAAAGATGTTGATCTGGCAAGCGCATACATTTGTTTTGGAAGTGAGTGAAAGAAATAAGTAACAAATTTAGATGTTTTTTCTTTTTTGAACACAGCTGTTTGCAGGGTGCATAGCGATGAGGTAATATGTATATGTGGATATTTAAGAATAATAACTAATATGACCATGGTTAAAAAAAGTTGTTTTTGTACCGTTCATACACCTAGGCCTCATGTAATGCCTGGTGCACACTAGAGGATTTTCAAATCTTAACTGATTTTTAAAATGTGGGATACCACAAACATAACAACATAATTAATCGATATTTTAATCTTAAGAACGCACACACACGACGATTCAGTCAAGACACAGGATCACACACACTCACAGAAACTTTCTTGATCAAACGTGACTTCAGACATAAACAAACGTGAAGGCAGACTGTCGTCGTCAGCTAGCTGCACTTGTGTGTGCTATGTTTTGCACAGGAAAACAAAAAAATAAAAATAAAACAGTGGATGAACTGATGATAATTGGTTCTGACCAGACTCTGCTCGGGAATGCCCACCCAATCGGCCGAATTATCCTCTAGTGTGTGGCCAGCATAAGCCATTTGGTTGTGCAATTTTGTTACGAAAGCTAAAGCATTCCCATCCATCCATCCATCCATCCATCCATCGTCAACCGCTTATCCTGTGTACAGGGTCGCGGGTAAAGCATTCCCTAGTAATGTTATTTCTTCAGTATAAGCCAACAACAAGATATAGCCCAGCAGCAAGGCCATCATAAAATGTTACCTTGTATAACAATTTGCCGTAGACTGGAGTGAGACAATAGACGTTTCAGAAAGCTATTGCGATCGCTCTTCTTCTCAATAAAACATCTTGGGTGCGACCTCTCGAGTCAGAATCAAAAAAATCAAAATGCATCGTCTTCTTTTCAGTTTACAGTGGACACTAGTTTTGATATAAGGCTCTGGTAAGATTAGCTATTTCTATATAGCTATAGCTATAACTATATAGAAATAGCCACTCTTCCCGCTGATGTTCTCGTTTGTTTATGTACGTCTTATAGAGGCATCAGTATTAAATTAAGACTGTTTCATAACCAGTTAAAATGTCCTTGTAGCTGCTTTAATCACTGTTCTTTAGAGTGCTCCCTGTGTGTTACAGTGCCTTAACGTCTCATTCAAAATAACCAGTTCCTTCATCTTATTCATTTTTATTCCTGACTCCTAAACATTTGAAGTAGTCACTGTTTTTGTACTAGTCAGATTTTAGTCTGCACCTCCATTAACCATCAAACATGTTTATTATTTAAATTACAGTGTCATCCTCCAGTTTCACACATCTACTTTGCTCAGGTTTTTTTCCTTTATGCATTTGTTACACACTTTTAAGGTGCAGAATATTTTGCTGTTGACATTTATACAGTCCATGAGTACAGTAAAGTTAATGTTTTTTTAAGTACATGTTCTCTTTTGATGAGACAGATAAAGAAAAATCCATTTCTAAAGAAAAATGACATTGTTTTGGAATTTTATGATGTGAATATCGCAATTTGAGTACTTCCTGTAACTGTTTCCTCTACCCTTTGGTTGTTATTTGTTCAAGTAAAATATCACCTTATCTTTATTATTTTTTCTAACATGCTTTACAACAGTCTGCAGTTTGTAATGTCAAAATTCAAAGCAGCCTTGTTTGGGAAATAAAAGCCATTGTTACTTCAAAGAAAATCTGTATTTGTGGCTTATATTGTACACTAATCTTACTACATAACTACATGTACTAACATTACTATTTAATAACAGCTTTATTCAACAAGAACTTCATTTGACTGCACATGTTACGAGATATACTGTATTTAAGCTCTCACAGATTGCCACTAGATGGAACCAGACTGTCAGTATCTGAAATGAATTGCTAAATGAAAGGGTTCCTTCCCGCTCTGCTCAGGGAGTAAGAGTTAGTAGGAGTTAACATTGCAAAAACATGAACATAGCTATCATGATGCGTGCTCCAGTGTCTCATCAAGTTGTTGGTGTTCAGATATTATCAGAACCACTATGTTTTCACACTCTGCCATCATTTTCACTGACCTGGTGCAGCTTGCATCTGTGATCTCTAATCTCATCTGAAAATTGTCTATTGCACACTCATATGCATCCTGTCCCCCTCCCACCTTTTCATTTTGAGCTTACAGTGAATTAATGAAAATCCTTTCCGACTTTCCGATGCTGCCTTTAAAATGTTAGGCCCACCTATTTCATTTTTGAGACCTGCAGCGGAATGATAATCCTTTGTTTGGGCTCATACTGACTGATTTCAAACTAATTCCCCATGCTGCTGCTGCTGCTGTAGCAACCAGAGTGTAATAAAAACTTTCCCCCAAACACAGCTGTGTTCATATCTCCTCGTCAAAATATTTATTTAGGAATAAATCGGAATGTTTCCAGACACTGCGGATGGATAAAGAAAGACTAAACATGGTCTGAATTTATCGGAGGGATTTATAAAATAGGGTTTGTATGTAACTTCCTTGTAGCCTGGGTGAAACATAGGGCAAACTGTGGGATCGCCTGTGTCCAGGTCCAGGTCTGTGGACGCGGGAGGTAAAGTTGGAGCTTCGTCAAGTTAGCAAGATACTGTGAGGATGTCGGTCAAGCGCACACACCTTCAAGATAAAAGAGTAGACGTTTATCAGTTTGAATTAAAATAATTTGTCATATCTTGACCATTAAAATAATTGTTTGTTTAAGTGTGTTTCTTAATTTGGTTTTTATTTTGTCTCTGCTCAGGAAATATCAAACATAGGTGTTAATGGGGTTTTTTTACGCTGAAAGCTCCACCGGAAGTCAACTTTTTCAGTTAGGTTAGCTTGTCAGTTGCCAAAGTAGTTAGCTGAGGCGGAAGGAGGAGTCTGTGGCAGTCTGAGGGGGACATCATGTAGTTTAAGACAGACGGTGTGACTTAAAATATTTAGACCTCGGCGTTTCTTCCCTCCGTTTGTTCCCTGGAAAACGCTTTGTCTTCTTTAACATCCAACCAACATCATGTTTCTGCGCGGATCAAAAAAGCGGCGGTCGAACCGCTCGGTAAGTCTATTTAAAAAAAAATACACTTCTTAATGACTTTCACAACTCACTTAACACTCGGTAAACTTTTAATGTAATACCATCTTCTTTGAACACCTTTTCGAAATATGTGTACGGCGTTGAGCCTTTCACTGTATTAGTAGCCTTGAAATGAACTTGTGTAATTAGGCTATTCAAGTTCAACACAGAAAACAGCCCAAGCAGAATTTTGTCCCACCTTCACCTGGCTTTTGTGTCTGTAAATACTTTGTCTGGTAAAAATCTACCCCCTCTTTTCCTCCACTTGTAATAAATCCTATTGTGATATATTATTACACTGCGTACCAGAAAGTCCTTCGTGCTTTGTTGAGTCCTCTCAGGCGCCCCAGGTACCGTCAGGAGGGGTTAGACTACGTCATAGGTCTTACCTGAGCAGGTTGGGATGTGGTAGCTGTAACTTGAATATGTTTATTACCTGTGTCCGTTTTTCATTACTAAGATGCAAAGACAAGCAATTGATGCTCTTAAATTATGCTTTGTTGGAATTGTGGAGCTTGTTTTCGGGGCAGACAAACAGCTGTGTGGCCATGAAACATCTGGCTATGCAGCACACTTGGACTACATCCAGACAGTGACTGTCAGTCCAACTACAGTCATGCCCAATTACTTGTTGTAAACTTCACATTCAAAGCGGATCAGTCTAATAGATAACCAGACAATAATACCCCTTTCTGAATTTAGCTTGATTCTGTGTTTGTAAGTTTGTATTTAAAATGTGTTAGTATTTCATAGCCTACAGATCCTGCAATTTACATGTAACACATCCTTTGTGTAAGCTCTTTAACAATAGTTAAACACCCAGGACACCAGACCCATACAACAACACTCAAGTATTAATGAATATCATCAATATTTTATGCAACACTCAATTACATCAGCTCTAGAAAAGTGAATTTTGAATCATGTTACAACAGAGATGTTAGATGATGTTGCAAAGTGTGTCTTAAACACTATAGTTGAATCTAAAATTATCTGTAGATTATCAGAGCCGGGAAAAGATTGACCTGCAGTCTATGATATTATAAGATTAGATATCATCTGGGATTTGATACATATTAAATGTCTTCCATTTCCAGCGGCACTAAGTAATATAATTATGTGTATTTGATATATTATTACAGCATATATAATAATATTATTATTTTTGTACCCAAATTAAATGTAATGTTGTCAATATCACCTATCGTTAATTTTCACTGGTTAGAGCATAAATACGACAACACTGAATACCATATGCTTCCTACTACCTTTGCTCTACCACAAGGCAGTTATAACTTATATTTCCACAACAGCTTTTAGATTTAGGCTGCATTATAAATTATACTATAATACACAATTTGAGAATAGAAGATTATACAATATGGAGGACAAGCCCAGAGCAATATTGGGCTCAATATAAAGCTAATGATCTTCCATTCGTGTATCTCAGATCATATACTTCTAAAAATATTAATCTTATGCATGTTTAATAGATGCAAAGGTGTACAGAATGAAAACATACTTTATGATTCAAGATGTTGAAGCTATTGTTTTTGAACAGAACCTTTGTTTATGTTATTAGTAACACCTATGCTTTTCCTACTCTAACAAGTCAAAAGTTTCTCATCATTTCAAAAGAACTCTTCGGTTACATGAAGTAACTGCTGACACAGCGCTGTCACAGAAAAAGTGTCTGTTTGAACCTCACAATGGCACTTGTATTTGGTAAACCCATCCAGTTGTTAAACAGTGTTGTTTCAGTTGACCTCGGGAGCAGGAAGCAGCGATGCAAAAACCATTAGAGCAGCAAGAAGTGTTGTGCCACAGAGCTGTGGTGGGAGCGTGGTGACGGCTGGCCTGGCCTGCATGCTGTCTGTTTGATCCTGTCCAGTTAGGAGAGGTGCGTCCACTCAGCATGCCAAAGCAGCAAAGGCCCCCGACCTCTGACCCGTTCGTTTTAATGTTTAACTCCTGCACAACCACAACACTGAGGAGAGGAATACCTAAATGGCAATCACTGTCTTCTGTCTCATTCATCTCTCTTATTTTGGTTAATACACTCTTTAGGTTTCACTCATTTAGCATTTAGTACAGGCTTAATGACACAATATAGGTGTATTAATTATCCACACTCTTATTTTATTGTAAGTAATTCCTGACTGAACCAATGCAGTTGCCTTCTGATGTCATATAACAAAGCTGGCAGACATTCAGTCTGTCCCTTACCTGGTTACACTGTTACTTGGTAGCAAGAAAGGGTTCAAGCAAACCAATGCAGCACCATGTGATTAAACCTTATACCAACTTAGTGAAAACAAAGGAGCTGATATGAAATGTCTGACGCCGGTGTGAGTGTGAGCATGTGAGCTGACGTGAAATTCTGAATGTATTATTTACTTTACCCACGCTTAGTTTGGAAGAAACTTCCTACCACCTAGGGCTGGGCGATATGGCCTAAAAATAAAATCTCCGATTTTATTTACTTTAATTCAATTTACGATTTTTTCCGATTTCCCCCCTACTTAAGGAAAGCAATAAGGTTTGTTGGTCAGTGCGGCTTTGTTCATCGCGGAGAGACTGGCATTTTTCATATTCGGCTGGATGTCTCTGTTTCAGGTGTTGGAATAGGTTTGTGGTGCTGCTGCCTTTCACTGCGATAGGCTTTAGGCAAATGTTGCAGCGTGGTGTCTGTTGTTCCACATCTGTCGCAGCAAACCCATACCAGTTCCAAACAACAGATGACTTTATTCCTTTCTTGGGAACAAACTTCCCGCTCTCACCGGTAGCCATTTTGTCGCTTGCTGTTGCTGTTTAGTGTATGATGTTGTCGCTATGGGAAACGAACACTACGGAAACCCCGGGGAGCCAAAAATGTGCTATTACACAAAAACTCGATTTACTTATTTTTTAAATCGCCCGCAACAAAAAATTCGAATTAATTCATTCAATCGATTTTTCGCCCAGGCCTACTACCACCGCTCCCATCACATCCTTCACTTGCAGCACAATAGGCAAACATCATTGTTGGGCCACAAACTTGACACATTATCTTCTGCGGAGAACAGAAATGAAACACACGAGTCTGTGTAGCCTTGACGTGTAGGACAATGTCATCATGATAAGGAAACGTGAAACTAACTTGCATCGGCTAAAGTTCAAGGCTGAAAGACTGTCCTATCTGTTTTCATCAAAATACAATCATTAAGGAGTGAAGTAAAAGTAACTGCCTATTTAAATTAACCTCTGTTTTTTCCATCTCATAATCTATGAGCACATGATGTGTTAATTAAAACCAAGTTGACAGATTGTTATGCATATTTAGGTATGCTTACAGATATGCCCTCCAGATATCCTGGTTATTTTGTTTTTTAAAATTAATCTAATTGAATGGAGTGTGACCTTGTCAAAGTTGTGCTGAGCATTGTGAAAACTCTCTAGGATGTTCTTTTGTCTTCTGTTTGCACATAATGTGACTAAACATTTCAAGTAAATTTAAAGGCTTTTCTTAGGATTCCTAATCCGTCATTATTCATTATGTCATTATTGTGTCCGTGCTTAACTCTTAATTACTCTCTGTCTTTAATTGAGTGAGCGTCCATGCTATGATGTTCAGCATTGTCGGT